TGGGCAAGTGAAATGTTTTTTTAATTCATGTGGTCATAGTTGTCCACAACTCAAATCAGATATAAGAAGAAATGTTTTATACCACCTCAAGAAGGCTTCCTATCAGAAAGGTAGGAAGGTATTTCAAATGTACAACTGCAGTACTTAAATCTAAGTAAGTATTTCCCTGACATTTTTGTGTTACTTTACTTTTATAGACCATGTAACAGGTTTTTATACTTCCTGTGAGTATAATCCAATCAATCTTTTCATACTGTATATCCGATGTGTAATTTGATAAATTGTGTTGTATGTGGTGCTCGCATCTCAGAGAAGACCTCTGACTGCAACATGCGTCTTTGTAAGAGAGAACGGACAGAAAAAGTCTCTAACTCTGCCTGTCAGCTCGCTCTGCCGTTAAAACTGAATTTACCATACAGAATTGAATACGAGTGCACTCCAGATTTAGCTGCAGCCAGCTGACCGTGTGCTTCTCCCTATACCGCAGTTCTGTGTCCATGCATGCAGCAAACTGAAGCACTGTCTGTCGGAGCGTCTACGTGAAAAGAGAAGGAAGACATTGCTGGTAGTATTGTCTTCAGAGTTGTTAAACACCTCAGCGCACTGAAGGAAGCCATCTGACTGTGTGAGGGGCAAGATCGTTGATGTCTGCAGGCAGAGTAGGAGCTCTCCTGTCTGACTGGTCCACCAATAGCAGAGAAGATGACCCCTTGAGACACAGCCCCTCCCATTTGCATAATGAGGCAGAAATGCATACAAAATTTAAAAAAGACAGGCAGAATAAATACCATGGGTGAAAAAATAAGGTAAATAAATACAAAGGAAGAATAAAACACACATAAATGTCGCGGTGGCAGCCCGGCTGTCGGTGAGTGTCCTGTTTCTCCTTTCCCTCACATTCTGGTTTTCCTGTGCCTCCTCTCTCTCTCTGTGTGTGTGCTCTCCCTCCCTGCTCCGGAGCCCGGCTGGCTACCCACACCTGCACCTCGTTTACCTCCATCCCCGGCCGCCGCACCTGCCAGCCATCAGCCTCATCACTGCCAGTATATCTACCCCGGCTTTCCACTCCACCCTCGCTCGATCGTCGCAGCTCTTGACCTGGTGTCGCCGCTTCGTTCTGGCTTTATTTCTTATACTCCTTTTGCCTCTTGTCCTCTTGCCTACTAACCCTGTCTCTCTGTTTTTCCCCGCCAGGTTCACTCACCTCTGCCTCCCAGCTCGGCCAGCCGGGCTCGCTCGCCTGCCTCCTCCTCTCGCCGCCTCCACGACCCCCCCCGGCTTCTCCACTCGCACCCCGCCTGGACCCCCGTCTCCGTGTCCTCACCTACCCGTCTGCCAGCCTCCCCCCTAGCCTCCAGCCTTGTGCCCTCCGTTCCTCCAGCTTCTCGGTTCCCCGAGTCCTCGTCTGCCTCTCCCCCTCCTTCCACCTGCCCTCGCCTCGAGCCTTTTTTTCCTCAATAAACCTCTTTTTCACCCTCAGCGTTGCGTTTGGGTCCGTTCTGTCTCCCACCGTTACAGAACGATCGAGCCACTATGGACCCAGCACGCTCCCCCTCTCCCCCCCCTCGACCGACCCCACTCCGCTGGAAGTCATCCGCGCCGTCGCCTCCCAGGGAGCGGTCCTCGATCAGCATGCGGCCCGGCTCCAGTCAGTGTCCGATGCGCTCTGCTCCCTGGGCGAGGGGTTCGGCGTCTCAGTGCGCGGCTCCCCGACCCCTGCTCCACTCCCTCTGTCCCCCTCTCAGTCTCCTCCTTGTTCGCTCTCTGCTGATTTTGTCCCAAGCGCCCCAGTAGGCGCGTTCTCTCCCCGCGAGACACCCGTTTCCCAGCCTGATAAATTCTCTGGCGTTCTGGGCGCGTGTGACGGCTTCCTGGTTCAGTGCGCCCTGGTGTTCAAGAGGCAACCAGTGTCTTTCCAATCCGACGAGGCTAAGATCTGTTACGTCGCTGGGTTACTCCGCGACCGGCTTTGGCCTGGTACGCTGCCGTCAGTGAGGGCCAGCCCCACGTTCTCTCCTCCTACTCCTCCTTTGTTGAGGAGATGCGGAGAGTCTTCGATCGCCCGGTGCGAGGGAGAGAGACGCCTGGTCGCCTCCTCTCCCTCCGCCAGCGTGGCGGAGTACTCGGTGGATTTCCGTATTCTGGCGGCCAACTCGGGTTGGAACAGTGAGGCGCTCCGGTGCGTGTTCCTGGACGGCCTCAATAATCGGATCAAAGACCTGCTGGCCGTTAGGGACGCCCCGGAGGGTCTCGATGCCTTGGTCGAGGTAGCCACCGACCTCGACAACCGCCTGCGGGAAGAGAGAGGGAACGTGTCGCCCGCGCTTCCTCCTCCCGCTCCAGCCTCACACCGTCTCGGGCCTCTGTCCTGCCGCCCCCCGCGCCCCGATCGGCCGTCCCGCCTGTGCTCCCTGCTCCCCCCACACTCTCAGCTCCACCGTCTCCTGAGCCCATGCAGCTAGGCCGAACTCACCTCTCCCGGAGGAACGCGAACGCCGCCGTCTCGCCGGGGAGTGCTTCTACTGCGGGAAGCCCGGTCACTTTTTGTCCACCTGCCCTGTTCGCCCAAAAGCACCTGCTCGCCAGTAGGGTTGGGACTACTGGCGAGCAGGGCCCCCTCCCCCAACCCCCGCGTCCTCCTCGATGCCTCCATCACCTGGGAGAGCATCACCCAGCCTCTCAAGGCCCTGATCGACTCGGGCGCGGACGAGAACTTCCTAGATTACCAATAGCTCGCCGCCTTAAGATCCCCCAGGTCCCCTTAGACACCCCCCTTCACCACGGGTCTAAACGGCCAGCCTCTCGCCATCGTCACCCACCGCACTCCTCAGTTATCTCTTCTCTCTTCCGGCAATCACCACGAGTCCCTCGCCTTCCACCTGATCTCTTCCCCTGCCGCCCCTCTGGTTCTTGGTCTCCCCTGGTTATCCTCCCATAACCCCTATATCGATTGGTCGCGGGGGAAGATCAGGAATTGGAGTACTTCTTGCCATTCCTCGTGCCTCCTGTCTGCCCGAGCCCCCGGTGATCCGGTTCCCCCGGTCTCTCCTCCGCTCCCTCCCGACCTGTCCGGGGTCCCCGATGTCTACCATGATCTGGCCCCGGTTTTTAGTAAGAACCTAGCCCTGTCACTACCCCCCCACCGCCCCTACGACTGCTCCATAGACCTCCTCCCGGACGCTCCCCTCCCGTCCAGTCACCTGTACAATCTGTCGCGACCGGAGAGGGTCTATGGAGCAGTACATTAAGGACTCCTTAGCCGCTGGCATCATTCGCCCTTCATCCTCCCCTCTTGGGGGGTTTTCGTAGCTAAGAAAGACAAGACCCTCCGCCCTTGTATCGATTACCGGGGCTCAACGCCATTACCGTTAAAAACAAGTATCCCCTCCCGCTCATGGATTCGGCCTTCGAATCCCTCTCCCGGTCCGCCATTTTTACCAAACTGGATTTGCGTAATGCCTATCATCTGGTGCGGATCCGGGAGGGGGATGAATGGAAAACCGCGTTTAACACCCCTCTCGGGCACTATGAGTACCTAGTCATGCCCTTTGGCCTTACCAACGCCCCCGCGGTTTTCCAAGCCCTGGTTAATGACGTTCTTCGCGACTTCCTCCACCGCTTTGTTTTCGTCTATCTTGACGATATCCTGATCTTCTCCCGCGACCCTGCCCAACACACTGAACACGTCCGTCTGGTCCTGCAGCGGCTTCTGGAGAACAGGCTCTTCGTCAAAGCAGAAAAATGTGAGTTTCACTCGCCTTCCGTCCAGTTCCTCGGTTTTATTATTGAAAGGGGGCAGCTCCGCGCCGACCCCTCCAAGATCCAGGCGGTCGCGGACTGGCCTACCCCCACCTCCGTTAAGCAACTACAACGCTTCCTCGGTTTTGCAAACTTTTACCGCCGCTTTATACGCAATTTCAGCACCGTCGCCGCCCCCCTAACCCGCCTCACTTCCACCTCGGTCCCTTTTGTCTGGTCTCCAGAGGCCGCTGCAGCCTTCTCTCGCCTCAAGTCCCTGTTCACCTCCGCCCCCGTCCTCACCAACCCTGACCCCTCCCTTCAGTTCGTGGTCGAGGTGGACGCCTCGGACGTGGGCGTCGGCGCCTGCCTCTCCCAGCGCTCCCCCAAAGATAACAAACTGCACCCTTGCGCTTCTTCTCCCGCCGTCTCACCCCCACCGAACGAAATTACACCGTGGGGGACCGAGAACTGCTGGCCGTTAAGCTGGCTTTAGAGGAATGGAGGCACTGGCTTGAGGGGGCTGAACTCCCTTTCCTCTCCTGACCGATCATAAGAATCTCTCCTACATCCAAACTGCTAAAAGATTGAACTCCCGTCAAGCCCGGTGGGCCCTGTTTTTTGATAGGTTCAACTTCTCCCTCTCCTACCGTCCTGGATCCCGTAACACCAAGCCTGACGCTCTCTCCCGACTCCATTCCCCGGACGCTCCCCCGAACTCCCCGGACACCATTCTGCCCCGCACCTGCATCGCCTCTATTGTTTGGGAAGTTGAATCCGCTGTTCGCCGCGCCCAGTCCACTGAACCCGGCCCTGGCCTCGAGCCTCCTAACCGCCTCTATGTCCCTCGAGTGTCCGCTCTCAGGTTCTCCAGTGGGCGCACGCCTCCAGATTCAGTTGCCACCCCGGGATGGCCCGTACCCTCTTCCTTCTTCGCCAGCGATTCTGGTGGCCTTCCATGGACAAGGACTGTCGGTCCTTTGTGGCCGCCTGTGAGGTGTGCGCCCGCGCTAAATCCTCCCATCAACCACCCGCCGGCCTGCTCCCCATCTCCCGGTCCCCGGTCGCCCCTGGTCCCACATCGCCTTAGACTTCGTCACCGGACTCCCCAGATCCAACGGGAACACGGTCATCCTCACCATCGTCGACCGTTTCTCCAAATCTGCCCACTTTGTCCCCCTACCTAAAACTCCCCTCTTCCTTGGAAACCGCCCGCCTCCTCATCAACCATGTCTTCCGTCTACATGGCATCCCTCAAGACATCGTCTCCGACCGGGGGCCTCAGTTCACGTCCCAGGTCTGGAGAGCCTTCTGTCGCGCCTTTGGCGCCACCGCCAGCCTCTCTTCGGGTTACCACCCCCAGACCAACGGACAGGCCGAGCGAGTCAACCAAGACCTGGGAGCGGCACTCAGGTGTGTGGCGTACAGAAGCCCGGCCTCATGGAGCTTACAGATCCCCTGGATTGAATACGCCCACAACTCCCAGGTTTGCACTGCCACTGGAATGTCCCCCTTCATGAGTTCACTGGGCTACCAACCCCCCCTGTTCCCGTCCCAGGAAGCAGAAGTAGCGGTCCCCTCGGTACGGGCCCACTTCCGCCGCATCTGGAAGGAGACCACGGCCGCCTTACAGCGCACCGCGGCCCGCAATCGCCGGTTGGCAGACCGGCATCGCACTCCAGCCCCCGCCTACCGGCCTGGACAACAAGTGTGGCTCTCCTCCAGAGACCTCCCCCTGCAAACCTCTTCAAAGAAACTCGCCCCCCGGTTCATCGGCCCCTATCCCATCGAGGCCGTCATCAACCCCTCCGCGGTTCGCCTGATACTCCCCCCTCACATGAGAGTCCACCCGGTCTTCCACGTCTCACGGGTCAAGCCCGTCTCCACCAGCTCCCTCTCTGTGCCAGTGGCAGCGCCTCCCCCTCCCCGGATGGTCGACGGACACCCCGCTTACACTGTGCGCCGCCTCCTGGATGTGCGACGTAGAGGTCGAGACTACCGGTACTTGGTGGACTGGGCCGGCTATGGCCCAGAGGAGCGCTCCTGGATTCCTGCCAGTCAAATCCTGGATCCTTCCCTCCTGTCCGACTTCTACCGGGCTCACCCAGACAAACCGGGGGATCCGCCTGGAGGCGTCCGTTGAGGGGGGGGCCCCTGTCGCGGTGGCAGCCCGGCTGTCGGTGAGTGTCCTGTTTCTCCTTTCCCTCACATTCTGGTTTCTCCTGTGCCTCCTCTCTCTCTGTGTGTGTGTGCTCTCTCCCTCCCTGCTCCGGAGCCCGGCAGGCTACCCACACCTGCACCTCGTTTACCTCCATCCCCGGCCGCCGCACCTGCCAGCCATCAGCCTCATCACTGCCAGTATATCTACCCCGGCTTTCCACTCCACCCTCGCTCGATCGTCGCAGCTCTTGACCTGGTGTCGCCGCTTCGTTCTGGCTTTATTTCTTATACTCCTTTTGCCTCTTGTCCTCTTGCCTACTAACCCTGTCTCTCTGTTTTTCCCCGCCAGGTTCACTCACCTCTGCCTCCCAGCTCGGCCAGCCGGGCTCGCTCGCCTGCCTCCTCCTCTCGCCGCCTCCACGACCCCCCCGGCTTCTCCACTCGCACCCCGCCTGGACCCCCGTCTCCGTGTCCTCACCTACCGTCTGCCAGCCTCCCCCCTAGCCTCCAGCCTTGTGCCCTC